AAAGAATTTTCCGATCAACTGGCGGTGTTTTCGATGATTTTCGTCCAGATAGACCTCAAGTGCATATGTATGATAAGTTAGGAATCTTCGCTGGTACAAAATAAAGGTTAAGATAAAGTCTGCAAAAAATTAAAATGTTAGAGACCGTTTCTGCAATTTTCCCAATAGAAGAAAATTAAGGATGGGGATTGAAAGGTTTGATTATAACAAAATTTTCAGAGATTCTAAAGCTGTGTGCTAGTTGCACAAATTATCGAAATAAAAATCAAAAGAAATTATCTAGGTAACATTTCAACTTTAAGAGTAAAAGTTCATTTCTTTTTTATGTTTAAAAAAATAATTATTATTATTTACATTTACAACTAGCAATGACCAATTTGGTTTTGGCATGTCAATTTAAACAATGACTTGCCAACCCGAAAACAATACAATTTGATGTTTTTGTCTTTTGTTACAAATTTACTTATCAAATCCATTACACAGACGCACAACTACTCGGAATTAATTGACATATAGAAAGTATTGTCCTTGTTAGGCAACAGAGAGTGGGAAAGGTTGTGTCGATTTTGTACTGTCATTGCTGGTAAATTATGCAGGCCATAACTGGCCAGGGACATCTGATTGTGCACGCACAGCTAGGAATAAATTAATAATAAGGGTAGTGATACACATACACGGAGAGAAGACCCACTAGGAGACAATGTGATGAATCACTGCTATCCCTGTTTTTCGATGAAAAAACTGTATTCTAACTTCATTGAACAATGTGACAATAACTCAATAATTATATAAATTGATGTTCGTCACCAATGCTAATGAATAACATTGCTGTTAGGTAGATTCGTCGTCTAGAACTTGTTGTCCCTTCAACTGTCCTCCGATCTATTTTTGACACATTGACACATAAAAAATTGACGTCTCTTTTCATTTGTTGAGAAGAGGTGGTATGTTGAAATGTCAAAAATGTACCCAAGGACATTAAATCTAGACTCACGTTTATGTGATATCGAAATCTGGTGGGACTCATTAAAATGACATGAAAAGTAAGCGTCTTATCTGTATAATCACCCTGACAGCTAGGCACCAATTCATTCGATAGACCCTCGCCCAACTTAGTTAGGAGGGTATTTTTCCTCTCACCTCGAGTAATTGACTCAGAGTAAGCACACTAGTCTTATCTAATAGTATAGGATATGTAATCGCATGTTTGAAAATAATAATCTAGACAGAGATCACAATGAGTAGAGAATGATTGTCATACATTAGTCCTTGAATCCATTGAAATACATGGCATTTGATCCACCTTGATGGCAAGACCCAACTAGCATAAGCCCTCAAGGCTTACAAAGTTGAAGATTTGCCATGGATAGGGTGGTAAGTACCACCCAGAATTCATCCTTTGCTTAACAAAAGTAGATGCGAGCAGGCAGTTATAAAAATTAGTACGAAAAAAGGAAATTTTAACCATAATCAAGAAACCTTTATGCATTTTCTACAATCTTTGCACCGCGTCAAATGCAGCACAAGAATAGGAAATGCGCAACTATTTTCAGATAAACCAATCAAATAAGCATTCGAAGAAAGTTTCAGGAACAAACAAGATGGGATACAACGCAATTTAAGAACAAGATTGAATATAATACTTCACTACACAATAATGTTAAAACTGCAAGCAGTTTATAGTAAATTACTACCAACAGGAGTATATTTTCTTTATATAAAGTATTCAATTCTGGTATTCAAAAAGACCGAAATGAGTAACATCTCCATCCTCTTGTTGGTCGAAACGAAAGGGAAAAGCAAACAACAGGACAAGAAGAATAAAAACCACCAAAATCAGAAAGAGTTTGACATGCTAGATAATAACTTGCTCAAACTATTAATATGGGGAATATAAAATCACGCCCTCCCCACAAACTAGAAGTTGCATTATATCAGTAACATATACAAGTGCCTAAAGGACTGCACCTGTGTATCTATCAGACATTAGGTACAGAAAACACTCGTCCCAAAAATGTTTTTTCCAAAGGAAGAAAAGAAATGCTTTTAACTAATGGAAACACAAAGAATACATACTAAGCAGAGATGACAGTAACAGGTAGTGGCGGATCCAGGATCTCGAGTAAGGTAGGGTCTCTGTTGACCGTTGACTATTGACCGTCAATGGCAGCAATAAAATTCAGAGAACCATTTTCATTTTAGGCAAAACAGAAAACTGATACTGAGAGCAGAGGAAGAAACAAAGGGGAGAAAGGGAAGGGATGAAAGAAGAAAGAAAGAAAAGAAAGAAGAGGCAAAGGAGGAAAAAAGATTGGTTGCTTTCTTCTCTTTGTGCCTCCTAAGCTTGCTCTCTAGGTTTTTATAAAAAATATACACAGACAATGCCTCCTTCTGAAGAAAAAAATTTGATTTTGAAAAGCTC